AGACTTGTCTTAAATGAAAATACTATATGTGTCCTAGAATGTATCTTAGAGAAAAGTTTGCTGTTAGTTTCATTGGAGGCTGACCTTGCTTACTTTTTATAACCTTTCCTTCTAGAAGTAGTATGAAAGAAACTTTGTATAGTGTATCGTCAAAACTTGTCTATGTAAGAATTTCTGTTTGGACTCAGAAGTACCTTTTGGTCCCATAGGAGTAGTTTTTATTGCAATTTTATTTTAATGGATACTGTTAAAGGACTCTCCAGAAAGATAAACTTCCAATATTAATGATTTACTTAATTTTTGTCATTCTGCTATAATGTAACATCTTATGGTTATTGTATTCCCGCATTTATTATCCATTCAAATTTTATTTTTTCTTTTTCTCTGAATTGCCTGTTATATCCTTGGCCAGCTTTTCTGTTGGTTGTGTTAAGTTTCTTTGTAGCTTCTACTGTAAATTGGCTTCTATCACAAAAACTAATCTAAACACCAGTGTCTCCTCATTGCCAAAAGAGTATACTTATCTTATTTAATGTATTTAATCTTTTCCTTTTTGAATCCATTCCCTTCATTGCCATTCATAACAACCCTTAACTCCTGAGTTTCTTCTACTTCTCAGGCTACTTTTCCTTTAATGGCTTTTTTATTCCACCCCTATCAACTCTCCCCTCTTCACAGTATGTCCTGTGGTCTTCATGACCATAGTTTTGATCTCTATTTCTAACAAAGTCATAGACATTTCTAATACTACTGTGGTTTGCACTTACGTTCACAATTGAAGGAAAGACTGAATTTTGGTTAGAGATAAGTGAAATAAAAACAAATTTTTTTCCCAGTGAGTTTCATTGACTCTCTGAATTTCATCTAACCTCATGAGTCTTAAAAGCCCAGGATAAATACCCCTGCAAGACCCGCATTTTCTACTGCTTATTGATTGTTGCCACCTGTATGTCTCATCATCATTGCAGTCGTTGTAATTAAGTTTGCTTAATTATGGGTGCTAGAGACAGTGCTAGGTACTTTATGTCCATCTCCTTCAGTCCTCCTGATAGTCCTGTTGTCTCCATTCTAGAGAAATGTAAACATTTGGCTCAAGATTAGGCTTGCCCAAGATCATAAAGCTAATAAGTGTGAAAGCTGATTCCAAACTGAGGTTGGCTCTTTACTCAAGAGTCGGTGCTTTTAATTATTATGCCATAATGTTTTCTCTTTATACCACTGCTTTCCCCACCACCCACCTGCAAATTCAATTCCCAGTTTAGTGCCACCACCTTCCATTGAAACCAAAAACATCTGAGAATCATTCTTTTCTTTCACATGCAATCCATCACCACATTTTTCAATTTCTTCTCCGAAAGGTTTCTAAACCACCACTCTTCATCCTTCCCCCCAGTGAGACTGTTACTGCCAGATCCTTAGTTTAAGTTTTTCTTCATCATTTCATGGATGGATTTTTCCATTAGTCTCCTAATTATTCTCTCTACTTCCGTTTTTGTGTTCCATTGATCCACACCACTTCTTAAATAAATGTTCTCATTTTTTAAATTCTGATTTTCTATTTCTTTGTTCAAAATCCTCTAGTAACTATATTATGAAAAAGATAAAATCCAATTCCTTAGTACATCACAAAAGTTCCTTTAATAAATGGTTATATCCAGCCTTTTCTCTCACTACTTTCCATAATCTGTACTTTAGTTATACCTTAGTGACCTCCTATCCTTGTACTTTTGCACTGGCTATTCTCTTTATCCAGAACCTCTTCTCTTCCTTGCCTACTTGTCAAATTTATTCTTCAACTGCAGGCTCAGTTCACATATTATCTCTATGAAGCACTTCTAATTATCTCTGTGAAGCATTTCTAATTCCCTGTTCCCACCATATTCTCTCTGAATTTTAGATGTCTCAACTACAAACTAGAATTAACAACATCTATCTTACAGAGGTTGTTGCAAAGAATTAAAAGAAATAATAAATGTAAAATAGTGCAGTGTCTTCACATAGTAGGTACTCAAATATTGTTTTTTCAGTCTTCTTTCTTCATGTGTCCCTATGAATACAATGTTATAATTATATGTCTGCATCTCATCCTGAACTTTAAGATTCTCAAGACTGGGGACTTGTTTTTCTTTTATACTCAATGCCTGTTTTAGTACCTAATACTTAATAGCTATTACATAAATATTTTTTAAAGAATTTAATTAATTTATGACTAGATTTTAAGTAACTAGCCCAGTAAAGTGAAGTAAATTGCTCTAATTAGTGATTCCTGTTTGTTTGTTTCCCTACTTTAGTGGTGATGAGTTCCTCAACTTTCTTCTGAAATTAAACAAACAGTGTGGCCATTTAATAACTGCTGTACAGAATATCATTACTGAGTTACCTGTAAATTCTCACAAGGTATTCTACAAAAGTTATTAAGTAAAGTCTGAATGCTGAAGAACATTCCAGATAAGTTCATGATAATTCAATAAACAGTACTGATCTGGTAAAATTATATCATTTATTCTATAAAATCACATAAGATCTAAATAAGTCAGTTTGTTTAATATTATTCATTTATATACTAATTTAATTGAAAAATTTAGTGTTCTTTCCCTCAAGAAAAAGAGTCACACCAAAAATTAAACTAATCCATGTATTGAATTTACCATTTGTTCTTAAAGGGGATTTAATTGTTTAAAATATAAAGTGACAGGAGACCCAAGTGAAAGTTGAAACAAAACAGCGTGTTGAGTGTTATTAAAAAATTATATAAGTATAAGATTTTTTAATGAAGGATATTTTAAAAAGAGAAGGGGTAAGTGGCCTGCAAAAGCAACTTAATTTTGTAGTTTTTCGTGTGATTTGGTTTTAGCTATTTGTAGTGAAAATTTTTAAATGCACTTGTTTTCTAGTGATTTTTATGTAACACTAATATGGGAATAATGTTATTTTAAAAACTTCATGAATTGATTTGTTCACCATAAATATTACTAATATTAATGTCCATATAGAAAGTTATATGTACGTATTTAGGAAATGCAGTCAGCAAGCTGATTCAATTATTGTATAAATTACTTATTGTTTGGTGTCAGGATATATCCTGAACTAAAAATCCTTTCCAGTTATATAATTTGGTGTTTAAGAATGTTGTATAATCTTTGTCTGTATAAAGTTGTGAAAAGTTGTTTCCATTCTTTAAAATGTAGCTTTTGAAAATCTTAACAGATCGTACTGGAATGGGCTTCTCCCCGGAATTTTACTTCAGTTTGTGAAGAACTCGTCAGTAATGTTGAAGATTTAAGTGAAGAGGTCCGCAAACTAAAAGACTTAATTCGGAAGGTATATATTTAACGTTAAAAAAAGGGAAAAAAAACTAAGGGAAATGATTTACAGCAAAAGATGGTAGACAATAAAGCACTTCTGATAAGAGCAACAAATAGAACATTTAGACAAGTGGGAAAGGAATGTTTTCCAAAAGAAGAAATAAACATAGGAAACAAACTTTCTTGGTCATTAAAGAAGTGCCTAGTAAAAGAATATGTCATTTTCATCTTTTCAATTAGCAGGGAAAAATGTATTACTCTACCCATTTCTAGTTAGAGTTCACCAAACTGATATTCTCATGTCAGACTATCGACACAACTCCCTTCAAGAACAGTTTGACAAGATGTGCCAAGGACCATAAAAATATTTGTATCTTTTGATAATAGTGTATTCCAAAATTGTATGTACCATAAGTGTCCTATACTAGGAGAATAATTTAATAAATTATGGTATACCTATGTTAAAATAATATGCAGCCAATTGAAAAAAACAATGAAACTCAGGTATCAGCTTGTTAAAGATAGGAAGTTATATTTGTGCGTTGTAACTTACATGTAAATGTGCATATGAAATAATACCAAAATGAAATATTTATTAGCTCTGTTAATGAGATAGGATTCTAGGTTAAATATTCCTTCTATTGTCCAGACTCTATAATATCTTTTATAACTTAACTGTTTTTTAAAGAGTGTGGGCTGTTTTGGTTCTGCTTTTATATACCTATAGAAGAAGTATATATCTGAAATTAAGGACAGGTAGATTTTCCCGTTTTAGAAAATTGGCTATAACAAAATCTAAGCTGCTGAAATAGGGAGGGACCTTTGTTGAAGGTGAGGAATAAAGAAAAACAATTGACTAAAGAACTTACTTCTGAGTTCTTCATGTCTGTTTAATAAGTAAATTTAATGTCTATAAAGCTTTGCGAAATGCCTGATTTGAAAGTGAGATTATACATTAAATTTTATAGCTTCAATCCTTAATTCATTCAATATTTTCATTAATATTTTATCAAACAAGTTCTTTTCCTGAAAATAAATTTTATACATTTTCCAGGTTGTTAGTCTAGCAATTAACATATGTTCAATCTAAAGAGTCTTAAAGTGAGAAATAAGTTGTGAAGCAAATCCTACAAAATAATAGCTGGGAAAAGAAATTTTAAATGGGTAGATGGCACTATGTTTCAGAAAAATTTGCAGAAAATAACTCCTTTCCAAGAGAGAGGCATCTTAGAAATTGCATTATCTCTGACAGTTATTCATTCAACAAACATGAGTGCCTACCTGTAAGGCACCTGTGCTACACAAGCTAGATAGATCCTGAACTTGCTCACAACACAAAAATTATAGCACCATTCATCTTCACTACCTCCATCTCCTCTAGAAGAATTGAAAAGCAAATCAATTTTACTTAACATGGTGTATTTCATGGGGATCCATGGGAAATTTTGATGGATTTGTATAAAGATAACTTCCTATAAAGCATCCACCTTTAATGTTTAGGAAATTTCCTAAGACATACTTGCCTCAAGGTTGTTTACTAATTTGGTTTCTCCAAAACAAACTAAAAACATGGAGGTGGAGACGGGGGGATGTGGAGAATTAAGACAAAATTAGAGAGAACCATATTTTTTTTTAAATGAATGAAAGTAAGAAACTTTGCTATAGGGACTGACTGACTCTAAAGCATAAACAATCCAATTAGGTACTGTAATATTTATTTTAATAATGCCTACCTATGAAGAAAATTTTCATCTTTAATCTTTAGCTAAACAGAAGGCCTTTTTTCTGTGATCTTGTCTACCTAGAATTTATACATTTCTATATAAGGACTAACCTTGAAAACACATTTATTAGTCTACAATAATGGTAGATACAGTTCTTTGGGCAGGAAAGTTTTCATTTTGGAGCAAGCTAGTGGACTGATTTTTTTCCAGATTAGTCTTACACAAGCAGTAATCATCATGAGATTTGATTTAGGGAATTATAAAGTCTTCCAGGTTTGAGAATATGCTATCATGCCTGTT